CGTAGTGATAACTGCCTCGGAAACCCAAGGAGGGGTCGCTATGAGTCGGGGCCGACTCGACGGCACATAACAACAACAACAACAACAACAACAACATATCCATGTGAGAGCTGGACAGTGAATAAGGAAGACTGCAGAAGAATTGAGATATTTGAATGGTAGTGTTGGCGAAGAACGTTGAATGTACTGTTGATTGCTAGAAGAACGAACAACTCTTTCTTGGAGGAAGTACAGCTGGAACACTCCTTAGAAGCAAGAATGGCCAGACTTTGTCTCTCATACTTTGGTCATGTTGTCAAAAGGCACCAGTCCCTGGAGAAGGATATCATGCTGGGTAAAGTGGAGTCAGAGAAAAAGGGAAAGATCCTCAACAAGATGGATTGACACAGTGGTTGTGATAGTGGGTTCAAGTATGGCAGTGATTGTGGAGATGGCTCAGGACTGGGCTTGTTCTGCTGTACATAGGGTTATTATGAGTGGAAACTGGCTCAGTGGCATCTAACAACATCATGTTTATAAATGGAATTAACCTCACGTTTTCTTTTTCTATAGTGTCCTTGTTTGCTTTTAGTGCCCTTGATGAATAAGTTAGGAAGCATATGGTAGATATATACAGTTATTTATATACGTGTTGTTCAGTGCCCTCGAGTTGGACGTACACATGTCTATGTGTGCTAGAGCCCATCGTCAACAACCATCGTGTCGATCCCTCACATTGAGGACCGTCCCCTTTTTTTCTGACTCTACTTTGCCCAGCATAATATCCTCCAGGGACTGGTCCCTTCTGACAACACAATGTATGCACACACATATGCACACACATACACACACACTTTGGGGGCAGTTACTGTTAAATACAAGAAATACCTATTCCCCCAAATTTTGCTAAGACTGGCCAATAAAATAGTGTGAGGCTGATGCTTTTGGAGAGTGGATCTTCTGCTGCCCTTTCATTTTCTTCTTTGGTTGATAACTTGTTTATTATTTTTTTCTTTTTCCTTCTATTTTTAAAGCCTGTTTTAGACAAGGGAGCTCTGGTGGCATAGTGCCTAAGGCATTTGACTGCTAATCAGAAGGCTGGCAGTTCAAAACCACCAGCCACTCCTTGGAAGGAAGACTGGGCAATCTACTTCCGTAGAGATACTCCCTTGGAAACTCAAGGAGGGGTCTCTATAAGTCATAATTGACTCGATGGCAGTGAGGTTTTTATGGTTTTATAGTCTCCTAGGAAATTACTCATACCTTACAGATATTTTAAGTTCCTAATAAAAAATTTGAATTCATGCAATGTAAAATGTCCATCTGTAGACATGTTCCCTTTTTAGCCCTAAGATTATTAGTCTTAATTTTTTCTCTTTCTCTGGTGAAATGAATACTTTTTTTTTTTTGACCTTTTTGCCTTGGTTCTTTGGAAAAACAGCTTGGGATATTTTTTTCCCAAGGTTATAGTTCTTTGAAGAAGTAACTTGGGGGTGGGAGCACTCCCGGGTTGTTTTCTACCCCAGAGAGTTTGTTACTTGCCCAGGGAATTTTCTGGGTTGATTGACATTTCCTGTGTGTGGTATAAACAACGTGATGTTTAATCCTTTTGCCTGGTAGTGAACAAGACCTGAGTCGATTGACATCTTGTGGGTAGTTGAGGATTGGTTGAACTCTGGTCTGAAGAGGGAGGCCCTGCCTTGTAACTGATGAGTGTCAGGATATAGAAGTGGCTGAAAAGCAAAGGTTTTTGAGGCCTCCTGGTAGAAAGGCACTGATGAGAAAAGCTCAGCTGGCAGAGAAGCAGAGCCACATGGGAGTGTAGTGGTCCTAGAGCTGCAACAGTGGCTGGAACTGCACCAGTTAGTGGCATGGAGGCTTGATGGTGGAGAGTGGCTCATCTGAGTAAGCTGCTATACTGACTCTGAGCTGGACCAGTTAGCGGCAGAACTGTCCGAGGTTCTGATGAGAACTGTACCGGGAAGGAGCATGTTGGCTCTGAGGGTTATCCAGCAGGAAAGCTGTCTTGACTGGCCAATTGTATCTTGAGTTGTATTTTTTAATTTCCAAGTTGTATCTGACAGAGGAGTCACTAGTGCTCAGACAGATCCCTTGTTACCCTCCCGAGAGGGACCGGGTCTCCGGGAGCAAGGTAAGCACGGGCAGGCTGGTGCTTACTCACTGATCTGCACTGAACGCTTTCCCTTGTTACCCTCCCGAGAGGGACCGGGTCTCCGGGAGCAAGGTAAGCACGGGTGAGCACAGAGTAGCAGGCCGGAAGAGCAGGAGAAAGGGGTAAAACCCAGTCACTAGTGCTCAGACGGCTCCCTTGTTACCCTCCTGAGAGGGACCGGGTCTCCGGGAGCAAGGTAAGCACGGGCGGCCTGGTGCTTACTCACTGATCTGCACT